CTTGGGGCACGCCTTGTTTAGGTCAGTGTAGTCCACACACATTCGCCAGGTACCATTCGGCTTTTTAACAAGCACAACATTTGCAACCCAATCTGGGAAGTAACATTGCCGAATGAACCCTGCATCAAGTAGTTTCTTAACTTCGGCGGCGGCCGCCTGACTTCTCTCTTCGCCATGATTCCGCTTCTTCTGCCTTACCGGCTTCTTTTTCGGATCCACAGCCAGTTTATGTACCGCCAGGTCAGGACTGATGCCTGGCATTTCATGGACTTCGAATGCAAAGATGTCTTTGTATTCTTTCAAAAGTTGGTGGAAATCTTCACCTAGAATTCCCAGAGCAGTCGTCCCAACCTTGACTATTCGGTCAGGGCGCGAGTCGTCCAGGAATAGGTCCGTATGCTCACCAGCCGGCTGAGGGCGGAATTCTTCTGACCGCTCCTCTGCCAATGATTGCTATTTTTTCTCTTTTCTTGCGGCTCCCAACTGGGCAGCCTTTCTTTTCTTGCCGCCTGCTTCCTGAGCAGGCGCATTCTCCTTGACAACGTCAAAGTCTGCTTTTCCACCACTTGACCCAGCGGCCATGACAGTGGGTTTAATATCCAAGAGGTAGCATTCTCGGGCCATCTTCTGATCTCCCCTTAGGGAGCCGACTGTTCCATCATCCCCCTCACCCCTCCTAAATCCTCTTCCGTGATGACGATTTCAGGAAATGAATTTCTGAAGGGTCGTTCTTGGTGAACGGAATTGACGTCTAACCGCCTGATATTGTCTTTGTTGCCCCTGATAGTGGGGCCGCCTCCTGAGAAGCTACCTGCAATGGTATAGACGACTACATCATCTGTATCAGAGCTGTCGGCCTGTTGGTTCTTTTTAGTCGACTGCTTTTTCGAGGAAGTGTTCCCCTTTGATTTCTTGACATAAGAGTTAAGGTCGCCTTGTTCAGCCAGGCGGTCTAGATACCGCATGAGACTGATGCATTCGTTGGTTTCATGACCAACGTCTTCATGATAATGGCAGAACCCTTCATAGGGGTCGGCTTCTCAATTGAGATCCGTCCCTTGATTTCTTTTAGGATAGCTTGGCTATCCTTGTTAAACGCATACTTTGGGGAGTATGGTTTGAATTCTTTCTTCTTCTTATGGGCCGGCTGTTTAGACGGCGCCAAAATGTTTCGGGGTTTTCTGATGTCCTGCGGGAGAGTTACAATTCCGAGACTGGAACCGGACGCCTGTACCTGCAAAACAAACGGACACTCCGAGTGATTGGAGGTCCGCCTCCAACGGTCAAGTTAGTACTTGTGTAAGGAGTAATTTATGCGGAATACTGTAATTGAGTCTCTCTAGGTGAGAGTGTTTTTTTGTGGGTAATCCCTTTTAATGAGAATTAATGAAGGTATTTATAACCTTGGGAAGCGTGCCACTCTCTAGGTTTAGGTTAAACCTAGAGCTGACTGGGCTTCCCACAAGGATTGGGCCTTGTTGGCCGGTTTACCCATTTGGCATGGGGGGACACGTGTCGTGTCGCAATTGGTCCATGGTGGACGTATCTCTAATTGACACGTGGCATGCTCCTATTTGCCCCTGTGAATGGACACATGGCGGAACCTGATTAGTCCACTTTTCAGATGGTGATTGGTGGATAAAAACTTCCTAATCATTAGTGGTTCCATATTTCCTCCACTATTCTCAACAATTGATCCATCGCACAAAATTTCACCCCCCCCACCGGCATAACAACACTACATTTTGTCCAGCCATGGGCTTCCCACAAGGATTGGGCCTTGTTGGCCGGTTTACCCATTTGGCATGGGGGGACACGTGTCGTGTCGCAATTGGTCCATGGTGGACGTATCTCTAATTGACACGTGGCAGACTCCTATTTGCCCCTGTGAATGGACACATGGCGGAACCTGATTAGTCCACTTGTCAGATGGTGATTGGTGGATAAAAACCCCCTAATCATTAGTGGTTCCATATTTCCTCCACTATTCTCAACAATTGATCCATCGCACAAAATTTCACCCCCCTACCGGCATAACAACACTACATTTTGTCCAGCCATATTCTACATAACAACCAAAACACATTTTACTTAAAGACGTTAAATCATCCCTAAATCACCACAATCAAACAAAAAATGTTTACATACTTTACAAAATAACTACTAAGAACCCCTAAATCACCATTATTACACAACAATGTAGGTTATGATAATTGTTCAAAAACTAATAATTATCAACCATTATCAACAATTTTTAACATAACCAACAACAACAATTCAACATTATCCAAACTATTATTAACACTAACAATATCAACACTACCAATATCAACACTAACAATTCAACAATTACCAACACTAACAATTCAACAATACCAACACTAATAATTCAACATTCTTAACACTAACAACTCAACATTATCAAGATTTTAACCACAATTCCAAAAAATTAGAAACCCACCAACATAATCCCTAGAATTTAAAAAACAAAGAGAGATCGAGTACATACCAATTTCGGGGTGAGGGGAGGCTAGGTTTAGTGGGCTTCAGGAGTCCGGTCGTCGGAGTGCGACGGTGGAGGTGTTGGCGGCGGCAACGGCTTGAAGGGAGGAGCACAAGTATCTTGGAGAGAGAGAGGGATTAAGTTAAGGGGAGTTTGGGAAAGAAGAAGTTTGGGAATGAAGGAGGGAGGAACAAACGCTGCTTGTTTTACGGCAAAAAAATATAAACGAAAGAAACGCTGTCTGAGACAGCGTTTCATTAACAACAACAAACGCTGTCTCAGACAGCGTTTTAGTACTCTTTGTAAAAACTGGTAATTACAAAAAAAAATTAAAAAAAGTCAACAACTAAAAACGCCGTTTTTAAGTTGATTTTTTTTTTTTTTTTTATAAAAAACCAGGGCATAAAACGCTGTCAGCATTTTACCCTGGAAGCTTAGTTTGGTAAATACTCTTGCCACACAACCATTTTCGTAAATATTTAGCAAATATAGCTTAGTTTGGGAAAACGTCCTGTAAATAGTTACAATCCAAACATATTTCAATAATAACAAAATAAAATTATGGATTTTCACTATATACTCCCGAGTAATTTTTTTATTCTCATATACCCTTCAAATTCACCATATAATCATGAATTTCACAAATATGTCGCTAAATATCCTTAATGACCAACGACAGTTTACTCTGTTAGTCATTAAAGTTAATTAAGTCACATGGTAGCCTCTGATTGGCTATTTTTTTTTTAAATTATTGTATTACTTATTTGAAAAAAAACCCCCCCTTTTTCGATCTACTGCCATCCCCATCCCCTTGCCGGCAATCGGCCAGTCCATTTCCGTCGCCGGGGCCAGGCCTCCCCCGTCGGCGACCGGCTAGTCTCTTTTCGTCATCGGCATCAGGCCTCCCCTAGCCGGTGGCTACCACCGTTATATCCCCACCCCTCCCTAATGCCCCAAACCTCTATTTTTCTCTTTCCTTTGGCACGAGCCCAGCCCCCTCCCCCGTTCCGATGCCAGCACCGACCCCACCCTGCGCCCCAGCGTCCCTGTCCCTTGCCCCTAAATCACGATCCCCCATTCCCTCCCACAAAACCCTTGAAAAACCCATCCCCTACCCCTGAAACCTCTCAATCGGCTTTCCTCCATCATCGAAAACCCTAACCGATAGGGTTTCAGGGTGGGCGAGGGGCGATTGGGGGGTTTCAAGGGTGGGGGATGGGTTTTTCTAGGCTTTCGTTTGAGGGAAAAGCATTTCGGGGTCGGGATCGTGGTATGGGGGAGTGGTGACGATGGGGGAGGAGCGACGCCGCTACGGGAGAGGGTTTTTGGGCGTTAACCGCGGGAGGGGGACTGGGGCACCACCGAGGATGAGGGATGGTGGCAGTGGGTCTGGTGGGGGTTTGGTGGGTTTTTTTTTAATTGTTATTTTAAGGTTTTTTAATAATTAGTTTAATTTAATAATTTAAAGGAACAATCAATCAGAAGTTGCCACGTGGCCTAATTAACCTCACTGTCATTAGTCATTAAGTGCATTGAGTGACGTTTTTGTGAAACTCATGATTGTATGGTGAACTTGAAAATTTTCATGGGTATATGGTGAATAAAAAAATTACTCAAGAGTATATAGTAAAAAATTCGTAATTTCAATATGTATGCACATGTTGACCCACCAGGCCACCATGAGTCCATGAACCATTTTTAAATATGCCTTGAATCAGTTAGGCTTAATTTGTAATTGAACACAAATTTTATTTGACAACTTAAGCAATACTCCCTCCGTATTTTATACATGCTCCACTTTCCTTTGCGGTCATATTTTATTACTTGCTCTATTTCCTTTTTTGCAAATTTTTAACAATATTATACTATTTACCTCTCCACTAGTGGTCCTCTCACATCATATTTTAACTAGTTTTTAGGCCCGAACGATGCCTCGGATTACTGCATTATTTCCATGATAGAAATCCTTATTAATATTTAATTTTGATAGAATGACAAATAATATGGTAATAGCTTAGTAGTTAACATGTTAGAGTTTAAGTTGAAGGTTGTGGGCTTGAATCTTGTAAGATATCCATATTTTTGAACATATGGAATGATAAACTTGATTGAATGAGGAGTGCGCCACGTGGCACATAAACTTGTTTAAGAACGCCTTTAAATATATAGTATAGATATTTTTCGTATTTTTTCCCTTCTCCACTTATACTCACTTTTGATTTTTTAGATTTTTTTATTTTCAACCAACCCCATTTCCATCATATTTTACTAGGCAGTATAAACTGTTTGCCACATTCCTATACAATTTGATATACTTAAAAATATAACAAATTGACCCCAGAATACAATTGTTTTTGGTTGATATATCAAATAATTTTATTTTGCTTACAATTCCCCTTCTCCATAATCGTTTGACTTCTACCAGTGTAAAGACTACGATCTTTCTTTGTTGATTAAGATTTAATTTTTTTTTCCTTAAATTTGATTCATAGTAGTATTTTATTATCTCTTTTGTTCACCAAGTTCACTACCTTCCAAAATTGAGTATTTCTCGTTAATAAAATAAATGTATGAATGGTTTTGTTGTACTGGACACATTTTAAGCCCTCAATATCACCTTAAGAAAAAAAAAATACTCTTCTAATTTCGCACTAAAATGCGCTGTATATATACTTTTGTGATACAAGTTTAACAACTGCACTTCATTTTGGGTTATATACCAACTCCATAATCATCTCATAAACCCCCCTTACCTTACCTATATAATCTCCTCTTTCCATACCAATATCATTCAACCAATAATCCTTCAAAACATACATTCGAGTGATCATCAATCCAGCACAAAATTCTTCTCGAACAACAGCGTATCAGCCTGGAAAACATGATCAAGAAATCAGCCATGTCATTGTTTGTTATGATGCTGCTACTAGCAACTATGCACACAGCAAAAGCTGTTGCTTCCCCTGAAACTCCGGTCATTGAGTTGTACATGCACGACATTCTTGGAGGGAGTAATCCCACGGCCCGGCCAATCACGGGGCTTCTTGGGAACATCTACAGTGGGCAGGTTCCTTTTGCTAGACCACTTGGGTTTTTTACACCCAAAAATGGTGTGGCCATCCCTAACAGCGATGGGTCAATGCCGAACATGAATGGCGGCGTCCCATTGGGAACTGGGTTGGCTGGTACTGCCTTTGCTGGATCTAACAACAACAATAACAACAACAACAACCAGAAGAACATCAACACAGCACAGCTTTTACCTGACGGTTTAGGCCTTGGGTTTGGAACTATTACAGTTATTGATGATATTCTGACAACTTCTCCAGACTTGGGTTCACAGACAGTTGGAACTGCTCAGGGTGTTTATGTTGCAAGTTCGGCTATGGGAAATACACAAATGATGGCATTCACTGCTATGCTGGAGGGAGGCGAATATGGGGACAGCATCAATTTCTATGGTATTTACAGGATCGGAAGCCCATATTCTAGGTTATCAGTGACAGGAGGCACAGGAAAGTTCAAGAACGCTTGTGGGTTCGCTGAGCTTCGCCCATTGATACCATCTGGACAGCATGTTACAGACGGAGCAGAGGCGTTGCTTAGGCTTCTTGTCCATCTCAAGTACTAAAAGAAAGGATGGACCTACTAAAGGTCATCTTGTATCTATTTGTGCTTTGGTTTTGTTTGTGTTATGGTCTCTAGTTTTCCCATCTTTATGGTAAAATGAGAGTCAAAGAAAGTGTGTAATTCATTCTACTTATGTTATATAATACAGCTTTCCCACATGAATGGAATTTTATTATTTAAAAATTTAAATCTATCCGAGACCACCTAGTCACTAGCAACAACCACAATTACCATCACCTTCACCCTCAACTACTTGTTTGCTTGGTTTTAGAGAGGTCCAGAGGTACACTTTCTAGTAACCTACAGCCAAATATTTTTGAATAACTGTCAAGGGATAAACAATCAGAAAACACCACTGAAGTTTATAGTTTATTACCATATATAATAACACATACAAGCTGGTCATGCAACAAACAGAATCGAAACAGTTCGAAGCCTTGGACTATCAATTGACAATTAAAGCCTCAATTAAATTAAAAAGATTTGTCTTTAAAATCAATAGTCAAAATAAGACAGTTGTGCTATCCTATGACTTCATAAGACGGGTATCACACTAGTTGCATAGATCTCATATCAAAAAAGAAAGGGCTATAGTCACAACAAGTTCATTATCTTCAATGTCATAATATGTTCCATTCATTTTGTGTCAAGTGATATATCAAGGACAAAGATCATTTGTTTTGTTGCAGTTTACAAATTTTCATCCCTCCTAGACTAGCTCCATTTTATAAAAAAGAAAACAGAGAACAAGACATGTAAGTTATAAGGTCAAATATCATGATAAAAATTACCTAAATATAATGCATAAAGCATATGCACTCCCAAATAAACAGCTGTCAGATCACCCAACTCATCAGCAATTAATCGTACAATCGGAATACCAACATATACAATGAGATAAAACATGCGTACTAAGTTGACTTTCACTGTAGATAAAAATGTGCTGTACATATCTGCAACATTATTATTGTGTAAAGAGAATAGGAGAAATAATAAAATTTACAATAAAAAAAATAAAAAAAAAAAAAAAAAAATAATCACCCTAGAGTGAAGGGTCTATTCCCAAACCATCTTGATCCTAAAGAAAAGAAAAGATGAAAAAACAAAAAACAAAAAGAAACAAAAAAAAAAAAATCATGTCAAACTTTTATTGTATGTTCACAGCTCCCACAGCCCGTCATATCATAATTTCACTTAAGGTTCGTTATCTGAATAACACCTCAAGCGTAGGTTAACTTTGCAGTTTTCTATAGAATGATCTTGGGTGGTTTTGTGAGATCAAAACAAAAGTTAGATATGGTTTCGATTAACTTTATTTTGATAGAATAGGCTTTCTAAGCAAGGATATAACTAATCTGAAAGAATATTACCAATTAAAATCTCTTTCTGCATCAAGATAATGAGGATATTTTAGCATGCTGAAGTATGCTCTCTTGATCAAGCCCATATAATGAATCAATCAAGTTAACACGCAATGAAGCTGGACCTTTTGCATCCTGCATACCCAGCTCACCAGCAATGCCAAATACAGATAATGCTGCAACTGTAGCTTCAAATGCATGAGTTGGATCAACAGCAACAAAGGCAGAAATTAGTGCAGTGACAGAGCACCCCGTTGCTGTTATCTTTTGCAACATCTGCACTCCGTTGCGTGCACCAATTACTTGTTTCCCATCTGTGACAATATCCACAGCTCCAGTCACGGCAACAACAGCACCAGTTTTTAGAGCCAGTGATTTTGCAGCTTCTAGAGCATCCATCGATTCATGCACGCTATCTGCACCCTGTAAAATGTAGCAAACCTTAATGAGTTATTAGTCTTATTACCTAAGCAGAAAACATGAATTCACATAATGCATGCTATCTGCACCCTATAAAATTTAGCAAGCCTTAATGAGATAACCTAAGCAGAAGGTAGGTATACACACTAGTATGCGCATCTCTTCCCCTAACATAGATTCACCTAAATTCCTAAATCCTACATCTTTGGCAATGCCAAACTCAAATTAGATTTCAACACCATTCAAGAGTAGAACACATACGAACGGCATCATACTGAAATATTCTCATTGGTTAACAGAGGATCATGTAGACACCCGAATGAATTTGCTACTAATTCCTCAACCCCTATATAATGGGAATCACATTTGAAATACAATAAGCATCCTTCTCTAACAAAGATATTATACACTATAAATATTAGGGGTATCAATTCGGGTATTTGGGTCGGATTCGGTGAGGTCGGGTCAAGTCTATTTCAAAGTTGAGTCATTCTAGATTATTGCGTCTATACAAGGGGTTGTTTTCGAGTCAGATCGGATCGAGACGGTCGGGTCAGTTTTTAACACCTCTAATAAATACGACCAAGGTTTGGCAAGTGGATTGCTAAATACTGCCAACGTTTTTTATCAAACCGCCAAAAAAAGTGATGAAGGGACAAAATTACCCTTGCTCATCCTCACTTTGCTTTCTCTCTCCTCAGTGCATCGGGCCTCAAATCAAATCAACTATCAACCACCACTTAATTAAAGCAACTACCATTGCCACCACCACTCACGCCACCACAACCACCACCCACGCCACCACGGCCAGGACCATCACTACCCACAACCACCAATTAAGAGGTACCTTTTTTGTGTGTTGCCGAAATCTCGAAAGACCAACAACGTACAATCAATAACCATCGAAAAAACGACCCACCACCTTCCCTCGTTGGCGGGAAGGTGGTGGTTTTCTTTAAAATCCGACGACCAGCACAACCGGTCACCCGGGACGGTAATCGGTTTTCAGCGTCGGTTGACCATGGTAACCGGCGTCCAAAACCGGTTGCCGTCCCTGGTGACCGGTTTTGCACGCCTATTGACCATGGTTGACCGGCGTCCAAAACCGGTTGTCGTCCCTGGTGACCGGTTTTGCACGCCAATTGATCATGGTTGACCGGCGTCCAAAACCGGTTGTCGTCCCTGGTGACCGATTTGTACGCCAATTGACCATGGTTGACCGGCGTCCAAAATCGGTTACCGTGATGTTCAATCGGTTTTTCGGGCCGGTGGAGAGCGCCGGAGATTATTAAAAAAAAAAAATCGAAGCGAGGTGACGAAATGGTTTTTCCAATGCCAGTTCATCACCTCCAATCCTCGCCGCCGTTGTCCTTCCACCTCCAACGTACGGCCGCCGCTTCTCTTCGCCTCCGATGTAAAGCTGCTGTTGTGGTTGATGGTGGTTGGGAAGTGGTGGTTGTGGCCCTTATGGATGATGAGAGAGAAAAAATTAAAAGAGAAAGATGTGGTGGGGAGTATAACAAGGATATTGATGTCTATTCACCTTAAGTATTGGCGGTTTGATAAAAATTATTGGAAGTATTTAACACCCCTTTGACAATTGGCATAGTAAATTTATAAAGTGACCTGTTATTTCAGATTTTCAAGACGTTACAAAACAGAAATGTGGTCGATTGATAAGGGATACAGAGCTTATCTTTTTCAAAAAAAATAAAAATAAATAAATAAATAGAATAGTCGCTTAGCCTTCGGTGTTCAAAATTTGCTAATTCAAATGACTAAGCATTAATTTGTCACTTCTAATGGTGTAAAACTTATCTAAGTAAAGTTAAACTTTCCTAACTATGAATCGAAAGCTATAAATTAAAACCCAATCCAACATGCAATAAAAAAATATTCTATGAAATTAACCATATACAATCTTCCAACAAAAGTAATCGATGCAAACAATAACTCCCTCCTTTCCTAAAAGTTCCTATTTCAACAGTAATTATCTCACCACAAATTCAAAACATGAAGAACTTTTAAACACGAGTGATAATCTAAATAAACAAAATAAGAAAAACAAAACATACCTTAGTATCACCAAAAGAAGCACGAGAAAGAGCAATAATCTCAGACCCATTACCCCTAACAACAGTAGGCTTCAACAAAAGCAAGTCCAAACAAGCCCTTAACCGGAAACTGGAACAACCAGCAGCAACAGGGTCAAACACCCAAGGCTTCCCATTTTTCACGGCGATTTCTGCGGCGGATTTCATCGCCGGCAAAGTAGATGCGGTGAGTGTGCCGACGTTGATGTAAAGGGCGGCAACTTGTGGGGTGAAATCAGGGATTTCATCGAATGAATGAAGCATAGCAGGCGAAGCTCCGGCTGCTAAGAGGGTGTTTGCTGCTAAATCCATTGATACGAAGTTGGTTATGCATTGGATTAATGGTGAGTTTTTGCGTACTTTTGAGAGGGTTTCCCATGATTTTTGGGACCATTCTTTTGGCTGTGTTTCTTGCTTCTCCATTTTATTGGATCTCTTTCTCTATTTGGCTATTCCACCTTTATTTTTCTTTTGTTGGTTGTGGCTTTATATAGGACAAGCTAAGGGGTAATTCTTCTCCCTGCACCGTGCTGTACACAGCACAAGGGAAAACTATTATATGACGATTGTGGGGCCCAGTTGTGTTAAAAGGTGTAGGTTTATACGAAGTAAATGTAAAGGTGTATAACATACAAAATACGCGGTATTTTACGGTCCCGTTGATACTGTTGTTAAACAGTGTCCTGTTGAAGACTAATTGAATTGAATGCTCTCTAGGTTTTGAATTTCGTTGAGTTCAACACTTGTACTGTCTTCTCCTCACACTTCTCTTCAGTTAGCAGTTCAAGTGTCAAGAACAATTCTGATCGCACTCCCAAGCAGGTATGTTTTCTCAAATGGTGATTTAATTAGTTGGTATTTGTTTTTGGGGAATAATAATGGTGTTCGTGTTTTGTTCGGTTAGGGTTTGTGAATTGCAAATATTAATTTTGGGCGTTTGAAGCGGAAGTAGCGGCGAGTGATTGCTTGAGCTGAACCTGCTTGGGTCATTAGATTTTTAAGTGAAATTATCAGTCAGTAGCTAAGTTATTGAAAATTAGATTTGTATGACATTAGGTAAATCATTGGTGTGTAGTTAAATTATGGAAAGTAGTTTAATTATTGTAAATAAATTATTGCTTTCTAGCTAAATTTTTGGTGTTTTGGTAAAGTTTTGAAGCTTACATGACAAAATCGGATTATCCATTATTGAATATGGCTTTGAAAAGTTGATAAAGTAAACTAGTTTGGTATATCATCTTATTATTGGAGTAATGTGTAATGATTTCTTTGGAAAATGTTTGTTATTGTATTGTATTTGTGTAGTTAGTGATTTGATTGCATTGATTTACAATAAATGGTTGATTTGGGGAGTTTAGTATACATGTCTGTGTTTGTGTTAGAATATGTCTGTGTTTGTGTTAATTTGCCTTGAATATAGGTGTAATGTCAGAAGGAGTTGGTTGTTTGTTGGGGGGAAAAGGAGAAGATGAAATTTTTGAGGAAGATGAAGTCATGTTGATTGGTGATGATAAAATGGGTGACGATGAAGGTAATATGGTTGTGGATTATGTAAAGGGGAGTGGGGAAAGTGGAGGATATTGCACTCCAGATGAGAAGGAGTGCAAGTCTATGGTGAACATGGACTGTGTTAGCGTGAACCCTCCTGAGGTGGGTATGATTTTTGATACGTGGCAAGAAGCGGATATGTATTACAATGCGTATGGCAAGTAGCAAGGGTTTGGGGTGGTGCTTGCTCAAAGTGCTTATAAGGTTGTGGGAGGAGTTAAGGTTAAACGTGCTACAACATGGAAATGCAACTGTTATGGTAAACCAGATACAAGGAAGAAAATTGGTGGGAAAAGAGTGGCAAAAGAGTTAGAAAGGGAACCCGTAGCAACGAAGAAGTCCAAAAAATGTGGGTGTCTTGCAAAGGTATATGCTTGGTTGTTGGATAATGGGAAATGGGAGTTGAAGAAGGTGGAGTTGGAGCATAGGAACCATAATCCAACCCCTTCCAAAGCATTGCTAGTTCCAAAGTATAGGTTGACAGAGTTAGAGAGGATGCCCTATGTTAGGAAAAAGCTTAAATTTGCTGATGATGTTGGGATCAACACTTCAACTATGCATAACTTGATGGCTAGCGAGAGGAATGGCCTAGAGAATATGCGTTTCACTAGGAAGGACTTGCATAACTTAAGGGCGAGGGAGAAGAAGCTGAAATTCAAAGATGGAGATGCGAATGCAATGATGAATTATTTTCAGATGATGCAGAAGAACAACAAGAATTTCTATCACATGCAACGGTTGCATAAGAACAGTGTACTACAAGATGTGTTGTGGGTCGATGCTCGTAGTCGAGCTGCGTACGAAGACTTTGGGGATGTTGTCTGTTTTAATACGACATTCCTATTGAATAAATGTGATTTTCCCCTTTGCAAATTTTGTTGGTGTTAACCATCACGGGCAGACAACCTTGCTTGGTTGTGCCCTTATTTCTCAGGAAAACGCTGAAACCTTCAAGTGGGTGAGCTATTACTTTGTTGTATTTTTGCTCCGTTAATTGTATTACATTTGAATGAAATTGCTGAGGTTGTTTTCTGTTTTTGATGTTATTTTCATTAGGTGGGTGTTTTCTACTTGGATTGATGTTGTAGGGAGGATCCCTCCGATGGCTATTTTGACTGATCAAAATGCAGCCATGCGCAAAGCATTTAAGAATGTTATTTCACAAACAAGGCATAGATGGTGTCTCTGGCATATCACTGAAAAATTTGGCAGCAAGTTAGGGAAGTGTAAAGGGTATGCTGAATTTAAAGAGGAGCTAAAAAATATTATTTATGATAGTTTAAGTATGTAAGAGTTCGAATTGAGGTGGAAAGTGTTTATAGCTACGCATAAGCTAGAGAGTAACTTGTGGTTGGTTGTTTTGTATTCAGAGCGGGAAATGTGGATTCCGGCGGCAATGAAGCACATGTTTTCGGCTGGAATGAAGACAACTCAAAGGTCGGAAGGCATTCATAATTTTTTTGATGAGATTTTTGATAAGCATACTAGTCTGTGTGATTTTGCTGAGAGATATGTTAGAGCTATGGAACACTACATTGATGCTGAAAGGTTGGTGAAAGGAATGGTGTCCTTCGAACAAATGTATTATTCCGATAGGGGGTTCAGAATTATTAGAAAGCTAATTATTCAATGAGGTCAAGTGATCGGAATGTCTAGCTGTAATATTAATGCATAATTAATATTACAGGTTAATCTTGACTGAACCCTTCGGGTTACACCCAATCGAATAACCGAATCGAAACAACGAATTAATCCGAAGGATTAAATGAGTCATTAGAGTATTACGAACATAGATGTCGGATTCCGAGCTTAGAGCGTCAAAACCGAGCGTTGTAAGTCGAGTCGAATTTAGGAATCGACGAGACGAGAAATCAAGAAAATAACAAGTTACAAATATACCCCTAGCCTCGGAATGCCCCGAGCAATCCGAGGGCCAAGGGCAATACAGCTAGCCAAGGCCACTGCCGCAAGGCAAGGCTCGACCGCAAGCTCAGCATGCCTAGCATTGGCGAGTATGCTGGCTGAGCATGCCTTGCGCGCATCGCAAGGCCAGCATGGCTGGCCGCATATGCTAGGCGAGCTAGCAGCACCAACCGCACCATCGCAAGGCCAGCAATACGCAAGTGCTCGCTGGGCCTCGCACATGGTCGCAGCGAGTATGCGAGCTCGCTAGCAATAGCAGTGCATGCATGCTAGTATCGCAAGCTAGCAGCACTGGCTAGCTGGCTGGTGCGGCATGGCCATCATCAATAGCGCACTAGGCGTGCTAGCATGCTAGTGTCTCGCACACAGCAGCCCACAAGCAAGCACAGCTTGCTGGGCCGTGCTTGCGCATCGCAGCATCAGCAGCAGCCCACATGCGTGCGTGGCTTGCGAGTTGGGTTGCGCACAAGCACAACGCCTCACTGGCAGGCCCAGCTGAGCACCAGGCCGCCAGCATGGCGCGCCTTGGTGCCCAAGGCTGGGAGCCAGGTGGGGGGCTACGATAGGGCGCGTGTAGGAGCCAGTTTGTGTGGTTTTCTTAGGGAGCAAGGGGAGGGTGGTCCCCCCTTGTGGTCCTCACCTAACCCCTTGCTTTTCACTTGACACTTGTTGTTTGTTGATTCATTTGCATTTTAATTTGATTTTAGAATTAAATTAAATTGAATAAATGTCTTTTTACCAACTCTCCCACATTGATGGGGGATTGGAATTCAAGGGCTCCTTTCCCTATAAATACCAATCATTTGGCATTAGGAAAGGGCACTTGAGTTGTGAACTTGAAAGGATCTCCACAAGCGAGAGCACTTTTGCTCTAATACTCTAAGTATTTTTGGTCTAGCCCCTACTAACCTTCGGGGTAGGGGTCGTTCGGGTCGGGTCTTGAGGGTGAGAGCCATTGGAGGCTTTTGCATTTGCGAAGCTCTACGCTTTCAAGTACGAGCTCTAAGAAAGAGCGAAGCACACATAAGGGTATGATCGTCTTTTCTTCTTTCTCTCTCTTTATTGATTAATTATGTGATTGTTAATTAATATTTATGTTTAGTTACTTTAATTTGTGTGCGGATTTTGGGAGGGTTTCATTCCGCGTAGTATCGGACACTACGAAACCCAATAGTTGGCTGATGGGAATTCTACAATGTATCTTCATGACCTAATAATAGATTTTAAGATAGAAGAGACGTTTAGGAATGTGTACACAGAGGCGAAATTCATGGAGGTGCAACGAGAGTGCAAGAGGTTGATGTATTGTAATTGCAGTAGCATGAAGGAGATAGGAGAGAGTTTCTATGAACACCATTCAAAGACAGAGTTTATGTCTACAGTGACATTGACAAGAACGAGAAACCAGTAAACAGGTGGAAAATGTACCGGGTGTTGTATAATGCTAAAACAGAAGAAGTTGAATGTGAATGCATGTTGTTTGAGTACAATGAGATTCTTTGCAGGCATTGCATTAATGCTCTTGAGGTCCAACAAATCCCTGATGTTCCAAAGAAATACATTTTGGATAGATGGCAGAAAGATGTTTACCGCAAGCATAGTAGAGTAAAAGTATCATACCATGATTTGTCTAAGATTACAGAAGTTCTTCGGTATGATAAGATGATGCTTGCATTTGAGCCAATATCATGTCTTGATAGTGAGAATGATGATGCATTGAGCATGGTTATTGCTGGCCTTCAAGAGTTAGAGGTGAACATTAAGAAGATAGTGAAACCAACTCTTCCTCTGAGTAGTGTTGGTGAGGCCAAGACTAAGAGCACGCCACAGAGTGTTAACAAGGCATTGGTTTCAACCCAATTTCATATTCCTTCCTCTGTGGCCAGGAGTGTGATTGACGGTGGACTTGTGGAGATGAACAAGCGATTGTGAATGTATCCCAACCAATTGCTGGTGGCATAAAGGATCCAGATACAAATAGGGGACCTAGGTGTGTCAGAGCTAGTAGGTTTATGACGACATTTGAGGAAGTGTGTCGTCAAAAGGAAGAAAGGAGGAAAAGATATGCAGAGAAGCAACGACGAACGGAGCGAGCTTAAAAAAAAAAAGCAAGCAGATGCACTATATGATGTAGCCTGTGATTTCAATGAGTTGACTGCTGAAGGTGTAGCAAGGCAAATAGATTTTGATCACAGCTTAGATCAAAGTATGCAGGTAATTGTAGCTTTGCATTTCAATTTCATTAAGTTTATACTGGTATGTGTTATAAATCATTCTGGTGGACTTAGTTAATTGATGTAGCATATGTGAACTTGCATTTTATGGAAAGTAGTATGTACATGAGTAGTTTAGCGAAGATATAGTGGGGAATCAGTTGGTTCTTGCATCTGCAAGAGTGGACGATGGAACAGCTGGTGATTGGTGCGATTGCTTAGAATTGATGTTCTTCAATGGGGTGTTGCCTGAGGATGAGTTGATAAAACGAAATCGAATTCAATGGGGTTCCTGAATGAGTTACAAGCTAGGAAGCACGGACACGCCACTTGGAAGGCATGTCTGAGTCGACATGTGTGTCGGACACGGACAAGCGTGGGACACGAGGCGATACGTGTCCGACACCCGAAATACCGTGTCCAGTTTTTTTTTTTTTTTTTAATTTTTTATGCTTGGACACGGACCGTATCAACCAAGACAAGGCCCATTTTGTTATGGATACGAAAGTTTATTAACTTCCTGCTGCTCTCCTCTCAGCTTCTCATTCTCTCTCATTAGTCACTTTGAAATTTGAAACCCTGAGTCCAGGCAACCCAGCCACAATTGCTCACCGCCTCACCGTCTCACCGTCGCTCACCGCCTCACCGTGGCTCACCGTCGCTTGCTCGTTTGAAACAGAGAAACCGTGAAACGGTCGTCTGTGAACTACAAAGTGCGAACGGTCGTCGCTCACCGTCTCAACTTCCGGCACACCAGAGGCCATCGACGAACGGGTTTAATTTTTTCCTAACTTCATATCTTGTTCTCTCAACTTCCGGCACACCCGTTCTCCTGTTTCAGCGTACCATTTCCACTGTTTCAGATGTGGGTGGAGATACACTGAGGGAAGATCTTAGTTGTGGGATGTGGGCGGAGATGAGCATGACAACCTAGGAGATGTTGGTATTCTTTAGATGGCCGAGCTCTCACTTGATGAACTAGAGATGGAAAATATGGGTTTTGATGATGTACTTGATGATGGTGAAGAATGAAAACTATTAGTACTGATGTTTATTTTATTTATGGTTTATAAAACTATTATTAAGACATTTATTTGGTTTCTTAATATGTATGCGACTATGCTTGTAACACTTTGTTTATTTACTTGTTTTAAACAAAATTGCTTGTTTTCAGGTTTATTATTTATATTAGTGTTTTATTGAATAGGTTGTCCAATTCTCGTTTTTTTAAAAAATATTATATGCCTTGTTATTCACTGCACCCGTGTCCCCTATTTTAGAATTGTCGTTTTTCCATGTCCGTTTTGTACCCGTGTCCGTGTCCGTATCCGTTTCCATGCATCCTAGGTTACAAGTCAACTTGTTTTATTGGGCCAATATGGCCATGAAGATGGTTCATGCCATACTGAAAAGGGAAAATGTATGTAATGGACTTTATGTCATTCGAATTGGGTTGCACATTGTTGTAAAATGGACCTACTTTGCAAATGGACTTAAAGCTGAAATACAATGGTCCAATTTGTTTAAATGGTTTGTTTAAAAAATATTTATTGGTCAATGTGTTTCAAAGGTTTGTTTAAAAAATATTTATTTAATATAGGCTTACAAAATATTTATGTTCATTTTGTGAACATGTTTGTGAACATTTAATTTAGGCTTACAAGATAATATTACCATGACAAAGAACATATTATGGGATGTGATTGGATAATGTTATGGGATATTTACTTAATTTTAATATTATGGGATAGACTTTTATTTACAATATTATGAGGAAATTACGGGATATTATTATAGGTTATGTATTTATAAAATATTGAGAAACTATATGGAGTATTTACATGATAATGTTAACATATCATAATGATAATTTACATGGTAAGGATAATTAACATGATAATGTTAATTAACATGATAATACAACATATTAATTAAACAATAATTTAATTAAAACCACATGATAATGAAAGGAGTAGTCCGAAAAGACTACTCCAATTATACAAAAATAATAGTTCGATATCCGGATTATAGGAGCATAACGACAACTAAAAATATTACATTAAACGGAGATATAGTTCATAAAATAACATCAACAGAAAATTAAACAACTCGACATAACTAGAAGCATAGCATAAGGAGACATAGCAGCAGCAACATATACGAACGCTACTCGTCGTCACCACCAGAACCCTCATTCGCCGCCGTTGACGTACCAGCTCCATATTCACCTTCTCCCTTAATCTACATTTTACAATATTTCAAGTCCATAAATATATTTATACATGTAATGATATTTATAATATTCATGTATTCAGAATAATAGAAATAATATCATAATAATGTGAAGAGTACAATGGCGTGAGACTCACTTTAACAGTACCCAATCCAAGCAACTCGTTTGTGCCTCCAGTATTGAACATTGTTTCACACCTAACAAAACTAGCATCCCATAAAACAATGATGCCCCCTTTAGAACCTAGTCCTGACGGACAAGCCTCACTTGTTTTCAAAATTTGCAAGCTTATCATTAAACCAAGAGGAAGATTCAATTATACCATACATATCGTAGTAGTTTGGAAGATGAACTGGACGCATGGTACCATCCTTCGTTATCATTTGCAGAGGATCATAACAGTCAGGCCATGGTGCCTCTGGGTTCCTTATCAACGCCCTAATGTAAGGTTTACGCGTCCTTACCAAATTTCACGGTTGAGTCCGAAGACAACAACAATGAACGTGTGGTATAATGTTTCGAATCTTTCTTAGTAAAATTTATCTACCATATTAAACAGATATTACTCATAATTTTATTAAATTATTATTCCATTATCCATGCGTAAGTTTAAAATGGTGTAATGATTAATAAGTAAATTCTATACGTATGCGTACATGCGTATTCCTTATTTTTAAAATTCTATTCATATTTATCAGAATCTTGATAAATACATGCATATTGCTTAATTTTATTATTCCATGCAGTAGAGTAATACTTCAAATGTAGGACTTCGATATTTGTTTTATATGTTAGGTTACAATATGGATTCATGCAAAACTTTAGTATTTCGATATTAGTTACTTTATTATTTCCATAAATATTACTTTGAATTTTGTATTATTTAAATGCATGCAAAATTATAATATTGGTGCGACTGAGTTTAGTACATGAGTACATGCATATTGCAAACTTAAACATTATACAACCATTTGAAAGCATTTGAAAGGATACTATTGGAACTTGTAACAGTGTTAGTAGGTAATTATTAGTACAGAATGTATAGAAAAAAATAAAATTTAGTTGATATAAAATCATACAATAATTTTTTATTAATTATGTTTACGTGACAAAGTGTATATTGTTATCCACAGCGTGTACCCCATCCGTTTCGGGGTTTGTTGTCTGATATGGGTTGTCTAGGACATATTCATAGGGGTCAAGACACACAACCCAATCTTGGGAAGTGTTCCTTATGTTTGTGGAAGATGAACAGTCAAATATGGTTCCCTTCATCGAGCGCAGTTGGATAGATTTTGTGGCCGACAATCCAGAGTGATGATCAATTGGTATTGTATTATGCATTTAATGGGAAGTTTTATTGCCGTATTTTTAGAGGTGGTGTTGATATTTCTGGTTATGACGATAACCCCGATCGAACCCAAACAACATCAATATTTGGAGGACCGAGGCAGTCTAGTCTGAGTTAAAGAAACAAACCACCCGGAGGAAGTTGACTACATTGATCCACCAATCTGACAAGAATGCGTTTGGGGTCACACTAACTAAGGCATACATTGTGTTGGGTGTCCTGGTAAAAAAAAATTGTGATTTACCTTTATAATTTGTTAAGAGTTGAATTTATTTACGAATGGATTATAGTCATTGTTTCATTTTTTTACTGGTAGAATGTTACTCTGAAATTTGCACGCGACAACTTTGTTGGGTTAGGTGAAACAAACATTGTCACTATGACCTACAAGAGAAAGTCTTGGGATGCAGAGCTCTACATAGTGAAAGGTGATGTCAATGGGAAGCTTAAGATTGTTCTAGCAAAATTAATGAATGGTCCTCGGGCAATGCTGAGACAAATGAAACTTCATCTATGTCAATGTGTTATACTCAAGTATGATAACGACAACCCTTACATATTTGAGGTCCAGTTTGTTTAACGAACCAGAAACTTGTTGAGGTTGTTGTTTGAGAATTTGTGTCCCTCTTTCTCTATCTATTTTCAAATGCGTTGTTAAAAATATTAAATCGGGTTTATGTACTTTTTAATTTGGTGTTTTAAGTATGGTATCGGCTTTATGTATTGTAATGGATGACTCCATGTCGGGTCTTGTTTGGGGTCTTTACGATTAATGTAACGTGTGCTCCTATTCCCTTGACTATATGAAATGTTTCTTTGTACTTATTGATTAGGGGATTTTCCCCCAGCCAATCATCGTCTGACACGTGGACCATTCAAGCCCTGCCATGTGTCCGCCACATGGACCAGTTGGAGCCTGCCACGTGTCAAGCGTTGATTAGTCCACCTAGGACCAATTGTGCCACGCCACGTGGCCTTCCAAATGCCAATAGGCAAAAAACGGCCACCTAGGCCCAATTTCCGGGGGAAGCCCAATCAGCCCTAGGTTGACCTAAACCTAGGATTGACACGCTTCCCAAGACTATAAATACATTTATTAATCCTCATTAAAGGGGGTTCAGCAATAATTACTCTC